CGCTCAGCAAGACCTCCAGTAGGACCAGTGTAGGGAGAAGGAGCCGGCATTGGGGAGGCGGGCTGTAACTGTGACTCGGACCGGACAGGCTGTGGACACTCTAAGGGAGGAGGAGGACCAGTAGAGGGCGGGAGACCAAGAACCTGCTGAAGGAGCGGAACGAAGTACGGCCGCGGCCGCACAGCACCTCCGGACACAGTAGGGACAGCACCAGCGCCAGCAGCACCCCCAGCTCCAGGAGCGTCAACTCCAGCACCCTCAGCAGCACCAGCGCCAGCAGGACCTCCAGCACCAGCACCCCCAGCAGCTCCAGCAGCTCCAGTACCTCCAGTAGCACCAGCAGCACCTCCAGCAGAACCAACTCCAGCAGCCTCAGCAGCACCCCCAGTCCCAGCAGCTCCAGTACCGCAAGTACGAGCACCTCCAGGACCAGTGGCTCCAGTACCTACAGCGCCGACCACAGGGTCAACAGCAACAGCAGCTCCTCCAGCACCAGCAGCACGGCTCCAACGCCTGGCAAACCACTCGCGCAGATCCTGTGGAGAGGGTAGCTCCCGCCGAGACAAAGGACCCGAAGGACCCCCAGACCCAGCACCGTCTGAGGCCACACGAGTAGACCCAGTACCCCCAGGCTCCGCACCCCCAGGCTCAGCACCCCCAGGCGCCGCACCCCCAGGCTCAGCACCCCCAGGCTCAGCACCCCCAGACTCAGCACCCCCAGGCTCAGCACCCCCAGACCCCGCACCCGCAGGCTCACCACCCCTAGCAGCACCAGAGTCAACAGCTACCTTGACAGGCTCGACAGCGTCTACCTGGGACACACCTGACGGGGCAGGACCCTGAGGGGGGAGAGGGTCGACCGGGGGGGGACCTGGCGCGAGGAAGAGCGGCGGCGGGGGAAGGGGCGCAGTGCGGTAGGGGAAGAGACGGTAGTACGGAACCGACTCGTCAAACGTGACGTCCTGGGAGGACAGAACACGGCGCGAGGTGGGGTGGTAAAACTGCCAACCAGGCGCGTCAGGGGGGAAGCCAAGGAAGACGCAGGGAACAGCACGGGGGGACAGTTTGTCCGCAGACAAGTCGCGGAAAAACGCCCGAGATCCCCAGACACGAAACGCAGACGCATCGCCAACCTTCCCCGTCCACCGCAAGGTGGGGGAGGTCTCCGGCAAGGAGACTCGGGGCTGAAGGTTGATCTGATGCGCCGCGTACTGAACCGCGAACGGCCACAGAAAATGGGGAGCAGCCGCATGGATCATGGACGTACGAGCGACATCCATGACCATGCCAATGCGGCGCTCAGCAATCCCATTTTGCTGTGGAGAGGCCGGAAGTGTGAACGTCTGGCGGATGCCCTGTGCACGACAGAAGGCTCCCAGAAGGCCAGAGGAAAACTCCCCGCCTCTGTCAGAGTGCAGACGCAGAACAGGAAAGTCCGAGACGAAACTCTCTCTGAGCTGGAGACGAGCTGCGCGGATCCAGTCGATCAACACCTCAGTGACGTCACCCTTGCTGCGCAAGGGGAACACCGTGGTGTAACGCGAGTAGTCGTCAACCATGGCTGCTATCCATTGAGAGGCCTAGGGTCCTGAGACCGCCTCAGTGTAAGTATGCCAGGGTCGGGATATTAAGAGCGTCAGGGTCATGTTTAAGAGCTAGCCGCATGGCATAGAGATGAGGAGCAGCGGCCGCAAGGAAAGCTAGCTCGAATTGCCTGTCCTCTAGGACGTCATTGCCAAGGGCAGGAGCACCCCCAACGAACGAAGAACGAGCAGTAGCAGAGACCAACAGAGTGGCGTAGTCAAGGCGATGGGTGGAGGCTAAGTCAGTAATAGTTGCGACCAGAGCATAGACGGATGGAGGAGGGGCAGTGGGGTCAGTGACAGGGTAGGAGAGCTTTGTTCACGCGAGGGTCACAGACGTGAGCAAGGCAGCTCTAGACGCAAAACACAGGCGCAACACCAGGGACCCATGACTAGTGGAGGGTCGGCAAAACTTGCGGCCATGAGAAACAAGGCCACATGTCAAGCTGGTGAGCGGCGTAGCGGATCGCAAATGGCCATAGATAATGGGGGGAACTGGCATGAATCATGGAGGTACGATCAATCTTCATTCTCCGTGTAGGTCTGGGACCAGAGGCAAACTCGCCTCCATAGTCAGAATGCAGACGAAGCACAGGTTGGACGTGCTGGGCACGAATGACCACGAGCCATGGGAGGAGAGCGCCAGGCACATCGGCCTTCCACTCCAAGGGAAACACCGCGGTGTAGCGGGAGTAGTCCTCCACAACAACCAAGAAGAAGCGCTCCCCACGCAGCCGTGAGACGGTGGTAGGGCTGACGTCCATGTCCAATGTCTGAAGAGGTACAGTGGTGGGAGTAAACGAAGAGGAGTGAGGGGAGGCGCACTGCTTGGCCTCGACAAAAGGGATCCACGACGGTGTAGACGAGGGAGGAAAAGAGGGGAGCGACGACGGGAGATCAGAGACAAGACCGTGCTGAGCCATGCAACAGAGACGCGGGGGAGCGCAATGACCTAGATAGTGGTGCCACAGAAGTGATGGGTGAGTGAGCGACCGACACCAGACGACGCAGCACCCTGGCCGCTGCAGGAACCAGGTGGACACAGAGTGGAAAGTCCTTACGCAGGGTCCCAAGGAAACGTGGAAAGAGGTGCCCTAGTGGTAGCATCCGTATAGGTCGCAAACTGCTCGTATCGAGGAAACGTGGTGATGATACAGAGATTGAGAAGACGACTGACACCACCAAGTTCCCGAAGAACAAGCGGATGTGCGGACATGTGAGGGAGCAAGAGGGGACTACCGGATATGTGAGTGAAGTAGCGTTGCGCGCGACGACTGATCCAGAGGAGGCAACAACAGATGCAGCCTCCGGTGTAGCAGCAGGCTCTGCAACAGCAGCAGAGGCAACGGAGGTAGGGAGCTACTACACCAGTAGTGGAGGCGCTGGTGTGGAGGTGGGTCTCGATCTCAAAGTGACTAGTCTCAAAGGTTTCGATAGTGAGGTCATTGGGGTGCATGGCGAGGAGGGCGTCTCGAGTAGGCACGAGGCGGTGAGGGAGTTGGGTCGCTAGGAGATGAAGGGTAAGGTACATGGAGGGGGTCTGCCTAGCAAGCTAGGCAGGGGTGAAAGAGCGCGAAAACTAGCGTCACGCGTGCATAGGTGCGTAATGCGGTCAACGATAGTGGAGAACACAGGGAGATTAGGAAAGTAGAAAGGCATGGAGAGGCAACCTAGACTAGCAAAGGAGAGGGTAGTCTAGCGAGCAACATTAGCATCAAAGCACTCCTTCACTGTCTCGACTTGGAGAAAGTGCACTCACGCGGTTGGTAGTAGGAGGCGATAAATAACAAGCGGCGGACCTTCTGGACCTACGAGGTGGCGCGAACAGACGCGGGGTGGAAGGAGGGGGGGAGGGCAGGTAGCTCACCCAGTGGGTGGGCATATAGGAGGATGTCACCCTGGAGCTGGTTCCGCAGGTGGAGCTTGATGTCGAGCAGCCACTTGTCAAAGTCGACCGCCCCACTGCATCGAGCCGGAATACGAACGTCATGACAAGAGCAGGCGCACATCTGCAACATGTGTGAAGTGACAACCACAAGCGGAGTAGAAGGTGGGGCTTAAACCTAACTCATGGCTCCAGGCGCGGCGGCAAGCGGCACCCTGAGGCACATGGCAGGCGCGCGGTAGATGCTGCTAGACACGCGACATGCGTAATAGCAGGGCGCGCGGTCGGCGCTTAACAGGTGCGGCGGCAAGGCGCGGCAAGTGCGAGCGCGGCAGGCACGTCACCGGCACCTGTGAGTGCGGTCGCGGCAGGCTCGGGTTGCGCAGGCGCGTGCGCAGCAAGCGTGAGCGGTGGCGACACATGCGCGACAGATGAGGGCTCGGCATTTGCGGTGGGCGTGATGGCAGCAGGCGCGAGCGTGGTGGCGGTTGGTACGGTCACTGGCGCGAGCGAGGGTGAAGCAGGCATAGTGGCAGTAGGCGTGGGTACGGCAGGCGGGGGCACGGGCGCGACAAGCATGAGCGCGGCGGCGGTGGGCGCGGGCTCAGGCGCTGGCGCGGGCGCAGTAGGCGCAGCGGCAGCAGGTGCAGGCGCAGTAGGCATTGGCGCGAGCGCGGCCGAAGGCACGGGTAGAGCTGCGGCTAGGCGCGAGCGCGGCTGTTGCCGCAACACGGACGTGAGAGGGGACGCGACGGGGCCACCAGGCAAGGTGCAATGGCAGGTGCGACGGGGCCGTGGCAGGCCGCTAGGGTGGGGCGCAACGAGTGACACTAGAGATGGGCGCATTGCAGTTAGCTAGGGGAGGCGGGGAAGAAGCGAGGGTCCTGAACCTAGCTTGATACCATGATAACAAGTTTACAAATTAGTAGAATGAGGGCATACGTTTGGGATATGTAGCCCAAACCCTCGATAGCACAACCCAATCTAGCCTACAAAAACAAATGCAAATGTATGTACCATGTGTTCTTCGACATCCTTTCCCGTGGTTTCCGTAGCGTATAATTCAATACAGCACACACACCACAAACCCTACTGAGTCCATGCCCATAATTAGGTTCCTACATCCTCTGATATTTGGGTCTGAAGGCCATAAGTGCTTCCCTCACCACTTAAAGCCTACCGACAGCTTCAGTGGTTAACCCACCAATCTACTCCTCCATCACAACTGTCCACTCTACACTCTAGATCCACACCTAATCCAATGCAAGACTCTTCCTCATCTTGCTGCCTCCTTTCATTCATCTTGCTGCCTCCCTCCCTTTCCTGCCTTCCCACTCTCAATCGTACCTTGCACATCCCCTCGCTACCTTCTCATAGCCCCTCTCCTTGCAGCCCCTCTTCAGCACCTCCCTTAGCACCCCCTTGGCCCCAGCAGATTCTAACGCGCACCAGCAAATACTAGGGCACTGCCTGAACCATCCCAACTTGGTCTATCAGATGGCTCAAGCCTTGAGATTGAATCTTGATATGTCTCAAAACCCGGCCGCCCGGACCAGCCCAACCTCGTCTATCAGATGGCTGAGCCCCAGCGGGTGCAGAATCTCCTCCGTGGCACCGTTGGCCTTCACCCCTGCATCATTCATTTCTTCCAACACCCCCCGCACCTCACTCACAAACTCCCCGCCTCCCGCCTCCTCTCCTGCTCCAGCTCCCCTCCTCCTCCAGTCATTCACAATGGCCGTGAGGATCGAGTTGAAGAGGTTTGAATCGGTGCGATACATGGTCCGTGCAAGCCCCACCAGCTCCCGCACCTTCCCCACCTCCCCCGCCTCCACAAACCCCCCCAGCACCTCCGCGAATGCATGAAATGGCAGCTTCATCCGCGCCCTGTGCGCGCCGGCCGCCACTGCGTCGTGTAACGTGGTAACTGCATCGTCGATCTGGTTGGCGGAGAGGTAGCCGCGGAGGAGGTGCAGGAAGGTGATGCCGTCGGGGCGCATGCCAGCTGCGTCCATGTGGAGGATGGTGTCCTTGGCCTTGGGGAAGAGGTGGTTGTGTGCATAGGCAAACACGAGGGAGTTGTACATCTCAGTCACTGGGGCCTGCTGCACCTTCAGTTCTTGAAACGCCTGCAGGGAAGAGGGGGAAATGGGGCAGGGGAAGGCGATACGCGGGTCGTTTCAGTGGGTTGAGAGGAAGGCAAGAGAGTTGGCGATGGGGAAGAGGTGGTTGTGGGCGTGGGCGAAGATGAGGGAGGGACTTGCACGTCTCGGTCCCTGGAGTTCTTGAAACGCCTGCAGGGGAGAGCGGGGGAGGAGGAAGAGAGAGGGTGGGGACGGGGCAGGGAGAGGCGATGGGATGTGAGCATGGGTTGCGTGGATCTTAGAGGGCAGGGAGCATTGCACGTCGCAGTCACCGGGGCGTGCTGCACCCTTGGCTCCTGCACCCTCGGCTCCTGCACCCTCGGCTGCTGCACCCTCGGCTGCTGCACCCTCGGCTGCTGCGCCATGAGCCCTGACTTCATGTGCACACATCACCCCTTCCTTCCCCCCTTTCCCCCTCACCTGCACCCTTTTTGATTACATCGGCACACAGACCCTTGATGACCGCATGAGCACACGGACCCTTGATGACTACGCAATCAGAGATGTACGCACACAGACACCCCCCCTAACCCACCCCCCCTCCCCTCACCTGCTCCGCCTTGCCCACATCACCCGCCAGCCCATAGCCCTCTATGCGCGCCTTGTGCAGCATCCTGCACGGCACAAGGTGGGAGGGGCGGATGGGAAGGAAGAAAAGAGAGAAGAGGACGGGAGGGGCGGATGGGAGGGGCAGATGGGAAGGAAGAAAAGAGAGAAGAGAGAGAAAAGACGGGACGTGTGAATGGAGGAGCGAAGCCCATAGCCCTCTATGCACGCCTTGTGGAGCATCCTGCAGAGTAGGGCATGGGAGAGAGCAGCAGACGGGAGAATGGGTTGAAGGAAGCCCACAGACCTCATGACTGATTTCAACCATGCTTCTTTCCACCCGTAATTACTCACTTTCTACCATTGCACCCATACCTCGTTACTATCACACACATAGCCCATCGCCATCACATCACACCCATACCTCGCCACTACCACACCCCTACAGCATCACCATCACCATCACCATCACACCCATACCTTGCCATCAGCACATTTGATGCAAGCAGCTCACTCCACGTCACCTCCAGCTTCTCGACCTGCCCGCTCTGACATACGCCTTCAGCGTGACGGCACACCATACCCATCACGCCATCACCATCACATCACACCCATACCCCATCACCACACATGCATACCTTGTCATCGGCACATTTGATGCAAGCAGCTCACTCCAAGTCGCCTCCAGCTTATCCACCTGCCGGCTCTGCCCATACGCCTTCAGCATAGCAGCATACGTGCCTCTGTCAGGGCCCGCTCCCGACGTCTTTAATCTCCTCTCCCACTCTAGAGCCTTCTCCGGCTCCCCATGGGTGACATAGGCTGAGATCAGCGCATTCATTGTAGCTAGATCCGGGGTCAGGTTGTAATTTTCCATCTGCCCGAGATAATGCTCCATTTCTTTGAGCTGCCCAGCCCTGCCGAGTCCCGCCAGGATGATGTTGAATGTGATTGTAATGGGGGTGAAGCCCTGCGGGCAAATGCGGGAGAGAGTCAGAGGGAACACGAGCGTAAGAAAGTAAGAGAGGAAGAGAGCAAGAGAGCAAGAGAGGAAGAGAGGAAGAGGAAGAGAGGAAGAGAGGAAGAGAGGAAGAGAGGAAGAGAGGAAGAGAGGAAGAGAGGAAGAGAGGAAGAGGGAGGCGGAGGAGATGCACGGGAGAAAGCACGGTGTGTGCATGGCATGGTTGCAATGATTCAGTTTTGAGACAGCATGTGATCAATGCACACGCACAGGGGCTCAAAATGCATGGTGTGTGCACGACATGGTTGCATTGTCCCCCCACGTTTCCCCTGCCCCACCTTGCTCCTCATCTCAACCACAATCGCTGCAATGCCCGCCACCACACCTGCCCCCCTCCTGCCCGCCCCTCTACCCCAAACCACCCCCCCACCTGTTTCCCAAAATCTTCCCCAACGTGCTTTCCCTCCATTGCCCCACCAACGTGCTTTCCCTCCATTGCCCCACCAACGTGCTTTCCCTCCATTGCCCCACCAACGTGCTTTCCCTCCATTGCCCCACCAACGTGCTTTCCCTCCATTGCCCCACCAACGTGCTTTCCCTCCATTGCCCCACCAACGTGCTTTCCCTCCATTGCCCCACCCTGCCCCCCCTGCCCCCCCTTCCCCCCTTGCCCCACCTTGCTGCGCATCTCATCCATGATCGCTGCAATGCCCGCCACCATGCCGGATCGCCGCCTGCCTGCCAGCAGCGCCTGCAGGCGCGCGTTGAACGACGGGATGCCCTCTGCCACGCCCTGCTGCCTCAGCCAGTCCACCTGGGAGGGCGTGAGGGGAGAGACGGGGAGAAGGAAAGGAGCGCACACATTGAGGATGGGTGAAAACAAAAGAAAAGTCATTTACTCGTTGAACGACGGGATGCCGTCCTGCACGCCGTGCTGCCTCAGCCAGTCCACCTGGGAGGGGGAGACGGAGAGGAGGGAGGAGACATGTAGAGCAGAGACGTCAGTTGATGTTGGAAAGAGGAAGGGGCCTTAGAGACATCTCAGCATGCAGCCGCGCGTTGAACGAGGGGACGCCCTCGGGCCCTCCCTGCTGCTGCAGCCAGTCCACCTGCAGGGGCAGGAGAGAGGGGGAGAAGGCGAGGTGAGCACACACACAGAATGGGTGAAGGGGACAATAGTAGTTCGCGCGTTGAACAAGGGGATGCCTTGCCACACCCTGCTGCCGCTGCCAGTCCACCTGCAGGGGCAGGAGAGAAGGAGCGATGGGAAGAAGGCGAACAGAGCACATGTAGAGGATGGGTGAAGGGGAAGACATTAGATTTACGGGTTGAAGGAGGGGATGGCCTTTGCCACATCCTGCTGGCGCGGCCACTCCACCTAGGAAGGAGCGACGGAGAGGAGGGAGGGATGATGTAGAGCTGGGAACAGAAACAAGAGGGAGGGCAGGAAAGGTGGCGTAGAAGCAAGGAGGCTTAGGCGGCTTAGGGCAGAGGATAGCAGTGGAGGGAAGGAGAGGAGGGGTAGAAGAAGCATTACACACACCTTAGCAGGCACACACCTTAGCAGGCACACACCCGACCCGAGGACAACGCCCCTGCCTTGACAGCACCCATTTCCTGAACCACATTTTTTTCAAGGGGAGGCGCTACCTGGGGCGTGTCGTACTTGGGGCAGGCGTTATTCAGGCAGATGAAATCTTACCTGCGTCTCGACTGACATGAACCTCCCCCGCCTTGCCACGTGGCCAAACACTGGCTGGTACACCTGCAGACCCACGGACAGGGCAGGGCGCGGCGAGAGGGGTGGAAGAGGGTTGGGCAACAGGGGGGGAGGGGAGAAGAGGGTTGGGCAACAGGAGGGGAGGGGAGAAGAGGGTTGGGCAGAAAGGATGGGGTGGGGAGACGAGGGTTGGGCAGAAGGGGTGGAGGGGGAGACGAGGGTTGGGCAGAAGGGTGGGGGGGGGAGACGAGGGTTGGGCAGAAGGGTGGGGGGGGGAGACGAGGGTTGGGCAGAAGGGTGGGGGGGGGAGACGAGGGTTGGGCAGAAGGGTGGGGGGGAGAGACGAGGGTTGGGCAGAAGGGTGGGGGGGGGGGACGAGGGTTGGGCAGAAGGGTGGGGGGGAGAGACGAGGGTTGGGCAGAAGGGTGGGGGGGGGAGACGAGGGTTGGGCAGAAGGGTGGGGGGGGGAGACGAGGGTTGGGCAGAAGGGTGGGGGGGGGAGACGAGGGTTGGGCAGAAGGGGTGGGGGGGGGAGACGAGGGTTGGGCAGAAGGGTGGGGGGGGGAGACGAGGGTTGGGCAGAAGGGTGGGGGGGGGGGACGAGGGTTGGGCAGAAGGGTGGGGGGGGGAGACGAGGGTTGGGCAGAAGGGTGGGGGGGGGAGACGAGGGTTGGGCAGAAGGGTGGGGGGGGGGGACGAGGGTTGGGCAGAAGGGTGGGGGGGGGAGACGAGGGTTGGGCAGAAGGGTGGGGGGGGGAGACGAGGGTTGGGCAGAAGGGTGGGGGGGGGAGACGAGGGTTGGGCAGAAGGGTGGGGGGGGGGGACGAGGGTTGGGCAGAAGGGTGGGGGGGGGAGACGAGGGTTGGGCAGAAGGGTGGGGGGGGGAGACGAGGGTTGGGCAGAAGGGTGGGGGGGGGAGACGAGGGTTGGGCAGAAGGGTGGGGGGGGGGGACGAGGGTTGGGCAGAAGGGTGGGGGGGGGAGACGAGGGTTGGGCAGAAGGGTGGGGGGGAGAGACGAGGGTTGGGCAGAAGGGTGGGGGGGGGAGACGAGGGTTGGGCAGAAGGGTGGGGGGGGGAGACGAGGGTTGGGCAGAAGGGTGGGGGGGAGAGACGAGGGTTGGGCAGAAGGGTGGGGGGGGGAGAAGGGAGAAGAGGGTTGGGCAGAAGGGGTGGGGTGGGGAGACGAGGGTTGGGAAGAAGGGGCGGGGGGGGGAGACGAGGGTTGGGCAGAAGGGTGGGGGGGGGAGACGAGGGTTGGGCAGAAGGGTGGGGGGGGGAGAAGAGGGTTGGGCAGAAGGGGTGGGGTGGGGAGACGAGGGTTGGGCAGAAGGGTGGGGGGGGGAGACGAGGGTTGGGCAGAAGGGGGGGAGAAAAGGGATGGGCAGAGGAGGAGAAGAAGAGGTTTGGTTTGGGCAGAGGGTGGGGGGGGAGAAGAAGGTTGGGCAGAGGGAGGGAGGGGGGATCTACAGTCGAGGAAAGGGAAGGAGGCAACATCCAGGACGCAAAAGAACAGTCCGCATTGGGCTCACCTCCTCTCCACAACTCATCTCCTCTGATCTAAACGTCTGAGGGAGGGACAGGTGACTCAATTCGGCACTAGTCGTGCCCATGCCTCATTTCGGCACTACTCGTGCCCATGTCTCAATTCGGCACTACTCGTGCCCATGCCTCAATTCGGCACTACTCGTGCCCATGCCTCAATTCGGCACTACTCGTGCCCATGCCTCAATTCGGCACTACTCGTACCCATGCCTCAATTCAGCACTACTAGTGCCCATGCCTCAATTCGGCACTACTCGTGCCCATGCCTCATTTCGGCACTACTCGTGCCCATGTCTCAATTCGGCACTACTCGTGCCCATGCCTCAATTCGGCACTACTCGTGCCCATGTCTCCATTCGGCACTACTCGTGCCCATGCCTCAATTCGGCACTACTCGTGCCCATGCCTCAATTCGGCACTACTCGTACCCATGCCTCAATTCGGCACTACTCGTGCCCATGCCTCAATTCGGCACTACTCGTGCCCATGCCTCAATTCGGCACTACTCGTGCCCATGCCTCAATTCGGCACTACTCGTGCCCATGCCTCAATTCGGCACTACTCGTGCCCATGCCTCAATTCGGCACTACTCGTACCCATGCCTCAATTCGGCACTACTCGTGCCCATGCCTCAATTCGGCACTACTCGTGCCCATGCGTAGCATGCGCCTCCTCTCTCCCCACCTCACCTTCTCCGTTCTGAACGGCTGTGGGAAGGCGAGGAAGAGCGCCTGAGCGGCCGCCACGTTGCGGGCGCGGATGACAGCAGAGAGCGCCAGCTGGTAGTCCGCCTCTAGCCGGGGGAAGCCCGGCTGCTGCACGAACCACTCCGCTACCTGCGGTGATTGGAAAGAGAGGGGGTGGGAAAGGGGAAAAAGCGGGATGGGGTGGGATAGATGAGGAATTCATGGAACTTCACAGCAGAGAGCGCGAGCTGGTAGTAGTCGGCCTCTAGACGGTGGAAGCCGGGCTGCTGCACAAACCCCTCCGCTACCTGCGGTGATGGGAGGGGAAGGGGAGCAGTGAGGGTCAAGGGGATGGGAATGACAGCAGAGAGCGCCAGCTGGTAGTCCGCCTCTAGGCGGGGGAAGCCCGCCTGCTGCACGAACCACTCCGCCACCTGGAGTTATCAGAGAGAAACGACGGGGAGAGAAAGGGGGAGTGGGAGGGGAGGGAGAGTTGACAAGCAAATCAGAAGGAGGGGGAGCGGAAGGGAGTTAACGTAAAGGCACTGCCAACTGGTAATCCGCCTTGAGCCTAGTTTCGAGGTGCCTCAAAACGTTAAGGGACTGTCAGCTGGTACTGCGCCTTGAGCCGCGGAAGCTGGGCCGCTGCACTGCACGAACCGTTCTGCTACCTGCAGGGATTTGAAAGGGAGGGGGGGCAGGGAAAGAAGGGGAACGAGTGGAAGGGCAGGGGAAACTTCGCACTGCATAAATGCACGCATATAACCCCAAACCTGCAAGCGGCTATGCATGTCAGATGCCAGAGGTGCAAAAGCCCAATCATGCGAACCAGAAAGATGCAAAACCCTAGACCCTGACCCTCCAACGCCCTTACCCATACAGAACCCTGAACCCTGACACTGCATGCAACTCAACACCCCTGGGCCCCGGGAACTCCCACCACACACACCTCGGCTGCCTGCTTGGGCCGGCAGTGGTTCTTGGGCTTATGTGATGCCACATGGACAAAACCCCAGACACATAAACCAGAACGCTGGAAAACCCCACCCAAACAGAACCCAAAACCCTGGCCCTGCAATAACAACACCCTCAGCCACCCCCACCAGACGCACCTCTGCAGCTTGCTGGGGCGACGGCTTTTGAGGTTACAAAAAGTTGAAACCTGAAACCCTGACCCTGCAACACTTCCCATCCCACGTCACCCCACCCACCCACGCCCACCCCCAGCACACGCTCCTCCGCAGCTTGCTTGGGGCAGCGGCTTTTGAGGCGCCTCGAAAGTCGGAACCCTAAACCCTGGCCTGCAACAACCCCCCCACCCTCTCCCTCCCCTTCTCCACAGCACACGCACCTCTGCAGCTTGCTTGGGATGACGAATTTTGAGGCGCCTCAACAGTGGGAGTGCTAAAGAATAAACCCTGACCCCGCAACAGCAACATCCCCAGCCACCACCACCAGACGCACCTCTGCAGCTTGCTTGGGGCGGCGGTGGTTCTTAAGCTTCTTGATCAGCTGCAAGGGAGGGTGTGCGGGTGAGAGAGTGTGAGAATGAGAGGGCGTGAGTGAGGGTGAGAGCTGATCAGTCAGCCAATAAGGGACAAGCAGGGGAGCGCGAGGAAGAACAGGGATGAGCAGGAAACACGCAAGGGGACAAAGGCTCGTTTTTACAAGGGGGACAAGGGGACAAAGGGTCACTATACAAGCAGAACTCGTTTTTCCACAGCTCAATACCATGCGGGCGCTGCCCATGACACTATGATTGGCACTTTTCATTAGCGATATCTTTGTAATCAGGCGCATGTCAATGGTGTTATATACCTGTGTGGCGAGGCGCATGTCTACGGTGTTCCCATTGCTCTCCCACGCCCTGACGATGGGCATGGCGTGGTTGCTGTCCGGCAGCTCCTTGATGTGCTGCCACAGCTGCTCCAGCGGGGCTGCAGGGACGTGATGGGGTGGGGAAAGGAGGAAAACACAGCAAGCCAAGGGCGTGTGAAAGGAGTAAGAACAGGCATGGTGTGGTTGCTGTCTGGAAGCTCCCTCACGTGCTGGAAGCTCCCTTACGTGCTGGAAGCTCCCTTACGTGCTGGAAGCTCCCTTACGTGCTGCCACAGCTGCTCCAGCGGCGCTGGAGGGGGGAAGCAGGGCGAACGGGGACGTTGACTTGGGTTGACTCAAACCCAGCAAGCAGGCCAAAAGGGCAGCTTGAGTTAAATCCTCTGGCATGCCTAAGCAACAGATGTCGTGCCGTTTCCGTGGCAGTCGCTTCAGGGCTGCCATGGCTGTTGCTTCAGGGCTGCCATGGCTGTTGCTTCAGGGCTGCCATGGCAGTTGCTTCAGGGCTGCCATGGCTGTTGCTTCAGGGCTGCCATGGCTGTTGCTTCAGGGCTGCCATGGCTGTTGCTTCAGGGCTGCCATGGCAGTTGCTTCAGGGCTGCCATGGCAGTTGCTTCAGGGCTGCCATGGCAGTTGCTTCAGGGCTGCCATGGCTGTTGCTTCAGGGCTGCCATGGCAGTTGCTTCAGGGCTGCCATGGCTGTTGCTTCAGGGCTGCCATGGCAGTTGCTTCAGGGCTACCATGGCTGTTGCTTCAGGGCTGCCATGGCTGTTGCTTCAGGGCTGCCATGGCTGTTGCTTCAGGGCTGCCATGGCAGTTGCTTCAGGGCTGCCATGGCTGCCGTAAAACGGCTGGAGGAGGGAAGAAAAAAAGCGGAGGGAAGGGTAAGGACTGAACAGGGGGGAATGGGCATGAGCAAGGACCAGGATCAGGACCAAGGCCACCGCGGCCCATGCCGGTCCGATTCATGAGTGTCCTGAATCACAACAGGGCATTTTGGGCATTTCGGTAGTTCCGCCCAAACTGCCGCAGCCTAGCACTGCAGCAGTCAGCCTGCACCGGGCCGGTCCTATTCGACAAGAGTGATTTAATTCAGACGACTCAAAAGTTTCGCCGGAATCGCCTCAGCCTGGTGCTGCCGCAGTCAGCCTGCACGGGCCAGCCCACCATGTCGGGCCGATACGTGACGCGCATGATCTGAGTCGCAGACGTCACTTCTAGGCCGTAAAACTTTGGCCGGTAAAACTCTTTTTGGCGTTCCTGGCAGCCACCCTCAAGTTACCTTCGCCCGATCCGGCCGAACCCCTCCCAACCCAGCCGAACCCCACCCAACCTGAACAACCTACTTCCTCCCTGCCCACGGTGGTCAACATGAGGGCCATCATTCTGACCAGACTGGCCCCACTTGGGCCAAGTCCAGCCCCCACCAGCAAGTAAGCCGGGCCAGGGTGACTCTTGAGTAACTCAAAGGTCACCCGGTGGGCCGCCTGGTTTGGGCGGGGGCAGGCCGGCCCTGGTCCGGCCCGTGGTCATGGCTGGGGAGGAAGCAGCGGAAGGGGACAGACAAAAACAGGGATTTGGGTTTGGGCATGGAGTTTGGGTTTTGGGTTTGTCCTCAAAACCCAATAACTTGTCCCATGGCATGCCACGCCACATCCCATTTCAAGCCATCCCATCCCATCCCATCCGACCCAGTCCCAACCCATCCCATTCCTGCCATCTCATGTCATGCCACACGACTCCTCCTTTCACTCACTCTGAAACCCTGGCAATTCCGCATTTGCCCCCCCACCCCCGCCGCTGCTCCCCCCAGCCTCCACCGTTCCGCCCTCGCCCCCTTCCGCGGGAACATGCGCGTCCCCTGTGCCCTCCGCCATTGCGGAAAACTCCTCCCCCAAACTCCCCTCCGCTGTTGCGGGGGAATCCTCCGCCTCCGCCACAACCTGCGCCGTCCCCTCGCCTTCCGCCCCCGCGCTATCTGCCAACGGAGTGTACCCGCTGCTTCCGCTGCTGCTGCTGCCGCCGCTGCTGTCGCTGCTGCCGGCGCTGCTGCTGGCGGTACTGTCATTGCTGCTGCTGTCGCTACTGATACCGTCGCTTGCACTAATCGACGAGTATATTCCGCCTGCGGCTAGTGAATGGAACGGACTCCTTAATCGGAGCGCGCTATAAGGCGTACCCGACGACACGGACTCTCGACGAATCATGCTGTGACTATATCGAGCGCCAAGCTGAGAGGCGGCGAGCGGAGCAGCCTCGCGGGCAGGGGGAGACGGCGACAGGGCGTGGGGGAGGACGCTACGCGCGACGGCGGCGACTGAAGGCACATGGCTGGCGGCGGCGGTAGCGGCGGCGGCGGCGGAGGTAGCGGGGGAGTGGATTGCGGCGGAGGATGGGGCGATCGGATCAAAGATCGCGTCAGGCGACGCGACAGACGCGGCGGATGCGGCAGCAGCGGCGTTGGCTGGAGCGTGATCGACGGCGCAGGACGCGGCGCGCGATGAGATCGATGCGATCGCCGAATCGCCACCGCGCTTGCGGTTGAGCGACGCCCGCAGATAAGCGAGCGATCGACCCCTCATGGCTGCTGCTACTGTCGCTGATTCAGTCGAGAGTGCGCGCAACGGCGGCTTCGTCGTGTCACTGGGTGCAGGCAAGAATTCGCGCGCGAGTGAATCCGAGTTTGTGGAAGGGGTTTTTGCGCGGTTCATGGGCTGATCCAGAAGTCTCATGTCGCGTTACTGTCTGATTTGAATCAAAGCATCAATGTTTCTCAAATCAAAATGCAGCTAGTTATGAAGGCTAACCTGCTAGGCAATTCATAAGTGTTACCGGTACAATTCTTCCATTCTTGATACTTCACAAGCACCAGAGGGTTCAACAGATGTTAATAAGAAATAATAATTTAAAAAAAAACAGCTGTATGTACCCATTGACCAGATAAATAGCTTGATCTACCGACATCATAGGTCAATACGTGATATATCGAACGGCTGATGGTAAGGCACCATGTTGAGCGCCAACGTCCCCTGCCCCTCCACGTGCGACCCACGCGCATCTTCCCCATCAGCATCAATCTCATCCACCACCACCTCCACCCCATCCCCCATCGCACCGCCACCATCATTCACCAACCCACCATCATCCTCCCCATCACCCTTCTCCTTCCCCTCACCACCTCCCCCATTCAACCAACTCCCACCCTCACCCCCACCCTCCTCCACCACACACCCGTCCTCCAACCCCCCACTGGTATCAGAGCTCTCCGAATAACCACCATCAGCACCACCGCCGCCACCAGGGCCATCCCCCAAGCCCTCCAAGATGGGCTCTAACGGGCTGTCCTCATCGGGGAGAGGCGCGTGCGGGGAGGTGAGGAAGCGGACAACAGAGGCCATGGGGGGGCGCTGGTCGGGGTTGTACTCGAGGCAGAGCAGGGCGATGCGCAGCACGCGCAGGAACTGGTCCTCGTCGAAGCCAGAGGCTAGTAGCGCCGGGTCGGCGAATGAATCCAGACCTCCCTCTGAGAGACATGCCTCGGCCTGCTCGGGGGGTGGTGCAGGGCGGTGAGATGAAGAGAGCGACAGCAATGAAAAGGAGCTGCTGCTTGTTGAAACCAGAGGCTAGCAGTGCCGGGTCAGCAATTGAATCCAGACCTCCCTCTGACAGTCATGCCCCGGCCTACGTTGGGGGTGGTGCAGGATGGGTATTTAAGAGACGGTTGAGAAGCCATGAGAATGCTGAGGTGAGCTGGCTGGCAGCAGGTAGTCAATTCCAGTCAACAAATTCAACTCCAGCTATTAAACCTGATCAACGCGGGTCAACTAGAGTCTCACCCGCTCCAGCAGGTTCTCTGTGTTGTGAGGCGACTGCACCCTTTCAAGCAGGTCATCTGTGTTGTGGGGCGACTGGCCTGAGAGCAGCTCCAGCAGCACTACCCCGAATCAACACCACCCACTCAAACCCCCAAGTCAACCAAGTCAACTCAAGCCTCTCTCACCCGTTCAAGCAGGTCCTCTGTGTTGTGGGGCGACTGGCCTGAGAGCAGCTCCAGCAGCACCACTCCGAAGCTGAACACGTCTGCTGCCACTCCCACCCGCTCACTGCCCACATACTCTGGGGCCACGTACCCCCACGTGCCCAGCACCTGGGGAAGGAGAGGGATGTTGGGAGAAGTGGGGAAGGGAGGAGTGGGGGAAATATCAGAACAGCTATGGCCTCCACGTGCTCACTGCCAGTGTGCCACGTAGCTCCATTCCACGTGCCCAGCACGTGAGAGGAAGGAGAGAGGGGAAAGAGGGGGCTGGAGCGTTGAGTTACGCAATGTCTGCCCACTCACGTACCCGGGGGCCATGGTATGGCCCCAAGGGTCAAGAGCCACTGACTGACGAAGTGGGGTGTGTTGAGTCGACTCACAACACAGAACGCCACTCGAAGAGGGGTGTGTTGAGTCGACTCACAACACAGAACGCCACTCGAAGAGGGGTGTGTTGAGTCGACTCACAACACAGAACGCCACTCGAAGAGGGGTGTGTTGAGTCGACTCACAACACAGAACGCCACTCACCCTGGTGGTCATGTCGTTGACCCCTTGCGGCATGACCTCGGCCAGCCCGAAATCCGCAATCTGGCCCCCCCAGCGTCGTCCAGCAGGATGCAAGCGGGCTTCACATCGCTTCATACGATACGACTTAACAAGAGTTCAGAGCCAATGGAAGAAGCAGAGGGGTGACTCAAGGGGTAAAAAGCGCCTGACAAAAGAGAACTACTCACCCTGGTGGTCATGTCGTTAACCCCTTGAGGCATGACCTTGGCCAGCCCGAAATCAGCGATCTTGGCCTCCCCGGTAGCATCCAGCAGGATGTTGGCGGGCTTCACATCGCGGTGGATGATTCGCGGCTCACACTGCTCGTGCAGGTAGGCCAGGCCCTTGGCTGATCCTATTGCTACTCGCACCCGATGCTCCCATGTCATTGGGCTTGTCTGCCCGGTGCAGAGAGGGTGTGGAGGATAGAAGGTGGGGAAAAAGCAAAAACTTATTTTCTGGCACAGGAGGCAAGACCAGGAGTTTGTTTTTAACCTTTCCCAGCAGCATCCAGCACGATATTAGCGGGCTTCACATCGCGATGAATGATCCGCAGCTCGCACCGCTCGTGCAAGTAAGCTAGGCCCTTGGCTGAACCCACTGCCACACGCACGCGGTGCTCCCATGTCATTGGGTTGTTCTTGTCTGATTGGTAGGGAGCACGTGTGAGAGAGGGGAAGAGAAAGCTAATATCTGAATGCCACTTGTCCGCGGCTCGCACTGCTAGTGCAGGTAGGCCAGGCCCTTGGCTGGCCCCACTGCCACACGCAGCCTATGCTCCCAGGTCATCGAATTGTTCTTGTCTGCCTGGTGCGGAGAGGGTGTGGGAGAGAGGTGGGAAAAAAGCAAGAGCTTATATTTCTGACGCTGGAAACAAGACCAGGAGAATGTTTTTGACCTCCGCAGCAGCGTCCAGCAGGATGAGTCCCCCTCACAGCAGAACCCCACCAGCTGCACCCAGCTCCACACACACACCACATGTCTGCATGCATGTGCAGCACCTACCTCTGAGCCGAGACGACAGGCTGCCGCCAGAAACAAACTCGTACGCCAGCAGCCGGGAATCCTCCTCACAGCAGAACCCCACGAGCTGCACCAAGTTGCGGTGGTGCACATGCCCTATCACCTCTATCTCTATGCGATATTCTGCCTCCCCTTGGCCCCCGCCCGGTGTTGCATGCAGCATCTTCACTGCCACCTCATAGCTGAGAGGAATATGGGGGAAGGGGAAGGCAAGGAGAAATGTGAGTGTGAGGGAGAGCAAGTGAGTGACGTGTTGCGGTGGTGCACGTGCCCGATCACCTCTATCTCTATCCGGTACTCCGCTTCTCCCTGGCCGCCCCCTGGTGTTGCATGCAGCATCTTCACTGCCACCTCGTACCTGGAAAAACGCGTAGGGGAACGGAAGGAAGGGACGGAAGCGAGAAGATGAAGCAAGAGAGTGTGAGGTGTTGCGGTGGTGCACGTGGCCGATCACCTCTATTTTTATTCGGTACTCTGCTTCCCCTTGGCCGCCCCCCGGTGTTGCATGCAGCATCTTCACTGCCACCTCATAGCTGGTGGGGATGCAGGAGTAAGGGTGAGGGGAATGAGGGGAGTGAGGAGGGAGGAGAGGGAGCAGGGTGAGGCGTGTTGCGGTGGTGCACATGCCCTATCACCTCTATCTCTATGTGGTATTCTGCTTCCCCTCATGCAGGTGGCAAGCGTGAGGGGGTGGGGAGGGAGTGGAGTGAGGTGGGGTGGTGTGCACGTACCCGATCACCTCTAACTCTGTCCAATATTCAGCTTCTCCCTGCCCCCCGCCTGGTGTTGCATGCAGCACCTTCACTGCTACCTCGTACCTGGCTACAGCACCGCTAAACAAACGGCAGAGTCTGCTTCAAGCCAGCGACGGCCCGAACCATAGGCATGCATCTTCCAAAATGAGGGTGTGTACCTGTGGTGCTTGAGAGTTCTCAAAAGTCAATCCAATAAAGCCTACCCGTCAGAGAGCGTGCCTCGGTACACGTGGCCGAACCCGCCCCGCCCTATGAGGCGCGAGAAGTGAAAGTTCTCGGTTGCTTCCTGCAGCTCCCACAGCTGGAACTCCGTCAACCCATCTGCCACCTCGCCTGGAGGACAGCCAGGAGAGGGGGAAGAGAAACGGGGGGGAAGAGAAGGAGGGTTTGGGAAGGGAAGGGCAAGCCATGTCTTGATTAAAGACCCGATGAGGGAGGACGGCCAGGAGCAGGGCGGGAGGGCGGTCAGGAGAAGGGCGGGAGGACGGTGGACGTGCATGCATGCTGACATGCCCTCATGTATGCATACTCACATACCCAACCGGGAGCATGCATATCCACATGCCCTCATGCATGTATACTCACATATCCACCCAAGAGCATGCACGCTCACATGCTCACGTGCATTCATGCTCATATACCCACATGCATGCATGCATGCTCACATGCCCACCCACGTGCATGCATGCATACTCACGTGCACGTGGCACGGCCTCGGCGCCCTCTATCAACCCCTCCTCGCCCGTTCCCTTCCCCTTTCCCCACCCCACCACTCTCCACAGCACCGCACCCAGCAGCACCGCAACCAGAGCAGCCCCTCCTGCTGCTATGAGAGCAACAGCGGCGGGGGGAAGAGTGGAGGCGGGCGGAGGGAGGGGAGCAGCGGCGGGGGGAGGAGGGGAGGCTGGGCAGATGGAGGTGTTGAGAGGGAGGGTGGGGGTGGGCGTGGTGGTGGGAGCGTTGGTGGTGGCAGCAGGTGCAGCAGCAGCAGCAGCAGCGGCGGAGGATGGGATACAGAGGTCAGCGTTGCCGGGAGACAGCCTGGGAGGAGACAAGCAAGGCACACACGGGTGGGTGGGTGGGTGGGTGGGTGGGAGGGTGGGGCACAGTGAGAGGTGGTTAGAAGGCTCGAGGATGGGCCATGGACTTGGGAGGAGAAACACCTGAGATGATAAGGTAACTTAGATTAGCACGACGGAATCACTTGGGCAATACTTCCTCACCAAACAAAAAGAGGAAGAAGAAAGAAAAGCACGAACCCAACTTCCAGAAGAGCATCCCTCGCCCCCCCAACTTCCATCCGTCCCACTTTCACCCGCCCCTCCCCCTCTCCTCCTTTTCCGACTAAAAAAAACAAACAAACAAACTCAAAGGGAAAGGTTCACCTGAGCGAGAGGCCTGATCGAATGAGCTGAGAAGGCAGTGGGCCTGACAGGGCATTGCCTGCAAGGTCTCTGCGCGTGGGGTGGCGGGAGAGAGGGGCAGCGTGGGACGAGGGAGGGAATTGGGCCTGTAAGCCAGATAAGTGCAGCCAGCAAGGTTATTGGTGGAACGGGTTGAGACTGAGAGGGGAGACGAGAATGTGCTGGCGGATTGATGAATGCAGGGCATGGCATACAAGGCAGTGTGCGGGTGGAGGGTTGTGAAGGAGAAAAACGGGGAGGGAAAACTGAAGGATGGAACATGATGGGGAAAGGGGAACGAATGGGGATGCATTGTGAGAGGGGATTTGAGGAGGGTGGAGAATAGACTTGAGGAGTTGCTCAGGGTGTGGAACACTGACAATCAAGAGGAAAGACAACCGCGTTTGGAGTTTGAAGGGCAAGTAGTGAGGGTGGGATTCCAGAGTGTGTGAGAAGAATTACATAATGGTGACAGGAATTACACAGTGGTGAGAGGAATTACAGAGTGGTGAGCGATGTCAAGCCAGACAGGGAGGATGGCAGAGGCCCAGCAAGACTGTTGTTGCTCAGATTCCTGCCGGCCCAACGAGTGGGTGGGTTGCACATGCACGGGGCAGAGAGGTGGATCAGTGGGCAGAGAGGTGGATCAGTGGGCAGAGAGGTGGATCAGTGGGCAGAGAGGTGGATCTCTGGGCAGAGAGGTGGATCAGTGGGCAGAGAGGTGGATCAGTGGGCAGAGAGGTGGATCAGTGGGCAGAGAGGTGGATCAGTGGGCAGAGAGGTGGATCAGTGGGCAGAGAGGTGGATCAGTGGGCAGAGAGGTGGATCAGTGGGCGGGAGCATGGCTTGATGGGAAGAGACAAGTTCTATACTTATACCTGCAGGTTTTAGTTCAGGTGTAAAGTGAATAATCACCCACATTGTGGTACACCCAACCCAGTTTCACGGGCTTAGAAGTTGCTCATTATGTTTCTTGGAGAAACGAGCGTCCATTCATATTCGTCATGACTCCATGTCATGGAGCAGACTGATATGTGTAGTCGACTCAAAAAGCTGCAGCCCAACCCAGCAGTTGCGGGGCCTCTCGTACCCAGTGCAGCGCAGTGCATGGTGCAACGATAGGGGATGGAGGCTTCTGCTAGTGCAGTGCTACTAATACCACCGCTTCAGGTCACACTCACATGCTCTGTTTGTGTCACTTTCGAGAATTCTCACAAGTGCAGTGCTACTAATACCACCGTTTCAGGTCACACTCACATGCTCTGTTTGTGTCACTTTCGAGAATTCTCACAAGTGCTGCTGCTAGTGTTGATGCTAGTAAGACTGCCACCCCTAGCAGTTACCATGCACTGTGCCCACCATGCACAGCGGATGATGGGTGGGTGCAACGCACAGCCCATGGTGCAAGCAACGCATAGTGCGTGCAACGCACAGCCCATGGTGCACGCAACGCATAGTGCATGCATGGTGCAACGCACAGTGATTGAAGAGTGCTGGTGGCGCTGACAAACTCCTCTGGTATGCTGCCGTTGACCCTCGTGCCGGAGATGGCGCTGTGGCATGGCATGCATGGCATGGCATGTCATGGCATGGCATGGCATGGCATGGCATGGTAGGGGCCGTGGCGTGGGGCATGGCATGGGGAATGGCATGGGGCAGGCACACACGCATGCAGGCACTGCAAGTCTTGCAGTCAAACCAAGCAATTTAAAAATGGCCATGCAAAGCAAAACTGCTGGAGAGGGACTAGAGGAAGCTGAGAGGGTTCAATACAGTGCGGCGAGATGGTTTTCAGTGCGGCGAGATGGTTTACAGTGCGGCGAGATGGTTTACAGTGCGGCGAGATGGTTTACAGTGCGGCGAGATGGTTTACAGTGCGGCGAGATGGTTTACAGTGCGGCGAGATGGTTTACAGTGCGGCGAGATGGTTTACAGTGCGGCGAGATGGTTTACAGTGCGGCGAGGTGGTTTACAGTGCGGCGAGATGGTTTACAGTGCGGCGAGATGGTTTACAGTGCGGCGAGATGGTTTACAGTGCGGCGAGATGGTTTACAGTGCGGCGAGATGGTTTACAGTGCGGTGAGATGGTTTACAGTGCGGCGAGATGGTTTACATTGCGGCGAGATGGTTTACAGTGCGGCGAGATGGTTTACAGTGCGGCGAGATGGTTTACAGTGTGGCGAGATGGTTTACATTACGGCAAGATGGTTAACAGTGCGGCGAGATGGTTTACATTGCGGTGAGATGGTTTACAGTGCGGCGAGATGGTTTACATTGCGGTGAGAGACGATGATGTGGCGAAGAAGGAGGGGATGGGGCCCTCCACAGGGCTGTTGAGAATGGAGCTGCATGGGAACCCAAGGTGAGACACGGAGTGAGGGTAGAATGAGGAGCAGGCAGGAAATGATGGGGCGAGTGAGTGTAAGGAGCAGGATGCAATGGAGGCGAGGAGTCCAAGTGGGGAGTGAGTGACGGGTGAGCACGGCCAGGTGGAGAGGGGTGAAAGAAGGTGAGTAGAGGTGAGCAAAGGTGACGAGATGGTGGACGCGCAAGAAGCAAGGAGAGACACAAGCACAACTATAACAAGGCAGGTCAACTCCATTGCACTCCCATGCGCCCCTCTCCACTCCCACGCGCCCAACTGCACAGGCAGAAACCTCACTGCACCCATCAGCTGGAACTGCAGCCCTACCCAGTAGCTACCTACGGCAGCCCAGTCAACTCACACACGTGACACGTCAACAAATACAGTCACAGGTCAGCCACTCAATTCATAGTTCATCAACCATTCTAACTCACGTCAGCTCACAAGTCATTGACTGGGCCTTGCGCTGCTGCTGCTGAGCATGCAGGGAGAGGGTGGGCGGAGAGCAGGGAGGGAAGCAGGATGAAAGGACAAAAAGAGGGGAAAGGCAAACAGAACAGGGGAGGGGAAAATAGTGGGAGATAGAGGGAATTTGGTGGAGGGATAGGAGGGAAATTATGGGGATAGATTAAGGGAACGGGGGGAAGAGCGGAAGATGAGGAGGGTGGTGAGATAGGGGGAAAGAGTGAAGAGAGATGGGAGAAGGTAGGAGGAGGGGGATAGAAGAGGTGGAGGGGGCGGCGGGGAGAGTAGGGACGTACAGGGGGCAGCAGCAGCGGGTGGCGCCATGAGGGGCGGGTGGTTTCGGGGAGATGTGCCCGCGGTATGGCTCTGAGGGGTGGTAGGCGGGGCAGAGGGATGATGAGCGATAAGGGGGGGGTTGACAGGGAAAAGAAAACAAGAACAAAGCATGTGTCACGAGCTGCGATTCCTTTGCAAGGGCCACAGGGCACGTGGCACGAGGCTCGAGAATGGATTTCCTGCATCGCATGAGATTATTTTAACAAACATAAAAGCAAAACTTACCGATGCGCTACGCAGTGACATCCGACGAGATGCGGCACGCGCTCTTGCAAGCGGCTTACCAAGCCACTCTTCTCCCCCGTCATCACAGAAGCTCCGTCGGTGCTGATGTCGGACACCCGCTTGATGTCCACGCCAATCGACTCTAGGTGGCTTGTGAGCACGGTGAAAAGCGAGGACGCGTCGCATTTGTGCACCGTCAGCAGCGCCAGAAATTCCGTGACGGACACGCCGTGCTTGAGGAACGTGGCAAACACAATCAAGTGTTTGCCACGTGCGCGATCGGTGCTCTCGTCGCAGGTAAGGCCGACGAATGGTGAAGAGAGAAGATGCTGAAGCTGCTGTGTTTTCTGGTACTTAGCCATAGCCGACGCCATTTCGTTGAATCCGTACCTGCCACAAGCCGTTGGGAAGGTATTAGATCCAGAAGGACTCCTAACAACATAAGATGCAGCTGCAGCATTTAACACAAACAAGCATACACTTACTGTGTGATGTACACGCCATAGAACTGAAGCGGGATGTCGGCGACTCCCTCCTCCGCGAGGAAGCCTATGAGCTTCGGGAACATCGCGATCGGTGCGTCATGGTCGCAGATGAACTCCACGCCGCGCATGAGACGAGTAAGCCGCGCGCCCTCTTTGTGTGTTGGCGAAATTGTCAATCCGCTTCTGTTTCTCAATCTCCGCCATGAGCGTCTGCTTCCGTTTCATGGCTTCGTTGTGGCGGCCGCTCAGCTCGTGACAGCGCATCGATCCGACCTGCAGATCGCGTCCCCCCATTCCGTTCCGTCCGAACTTCGCGTCGTCTTTCCCATGCTCCATGCAAATGCTGCATCGCAGAATGGGCAGGCCCTCCTCGTTCTTGTCAAGCATCAGCCAGTCAAAATTCGGCAGCCACTGCGTGATGTATAGCTGCTGCGTTTTCAGAAATTTCTCCTCAGCCTTCTCGGCAGCGGTGAGTTCACGGGACGCACGCTTCGGAGCTTGGACAGGAGCGGGAGGCGGAGTCGGTTTCGCAGGGGGCGTGCCGCACGGTAGAACGGCTTGCGCGATGCGACGCCTCTTCTTCGAGGCTGCAGACGATGACTCGCCGACCTCTGTCATGCTGACAGTGGCGGGAGCACTATCCGGCGCGACGGCATTAGAAGCAGACGGCCTTGCAACTTGCTATTTCTCATTGCTGCAAGAAGACGGGCTTGCAGTGCCTACAGGCGGAGGGTTCGCATGCAACGCTCGCAGGAAATCCAGGCCTGTCCGCGCGGGCGCATCCTTCGGTGGCTCGTCAGCAGCTTCACCATCGTCGTCCTCTGCAGGAGCCATGGCTCCTCGTGTGTATCAGAAGAAACGCCCACGTAGCCCAAATGAGTGTGAGTTCTCTGGTCTTGCAAGGTGAAACCTCAAACGTGTTCATGCCCCCAGTCCTTTCTCGTCTTTGTTTCCTAACGTGCACGCAAATGAACTGCAGACCCAGCCACAGTCGTGCAAGGAACGCGGTGCCCAGTGGGCTAGTGGGCACCGACTTTCTGCTGCAGTCAGCCAAGTTTCTTGCTAACCCGGCCCTGTTGTCATGCCAGACAAACAGACCGAGTTGTCTCGGTGGCGCTTCCTACAAAGAAACTGTAATCCTGGCCAATGGTGGCCCACTGTGTGCCAGCACATGAGTTGTCAAGGCCGAAATTCAGGCTTTGACAGTTGCCTTTCGGGCATCCCAGGTTACGGGAAAGGGGGGGTGGGTGTACTTTGGGGGGGGGGGGGGGTGGGGGGTAGGGTACTCGGTACAGGGTAAACCTCGTTACGGGATTCGGGAACCCTTGGGCATTAGTGTGCCTTACACAAAAAATCTGACACATCAGGGTAAACCTAACTCTAAAAATAAATACCCTAGGCCATCAGTGTGACCTACAAAAACCACCATGATTATCAGGGTATCAGGTTGATTTATACTGATAAAATTTGCCCTGTTCTCTATTTCAGACATAATGCTCAATTATGTGGAATTACGACTAAATAATATCAGCATGTACTATGTGGTTACTTATGGTGTAGATCTGACTCTGCTATTATGTGGAACGTGCGCTTCGTTTTCGCGTTCGTCTCGTTTTGTGGAGCTGACGCAAACTGCACATGAAATGTACAGTAGTGCATCAGCTGAGTCAGCTGAATTTCACGAGCTCACACACATGTGAAACCACCTCGATAACCCAACCCAACCCAAGAACAAGCAACTAGTTCTTTCCACTCACGCTAGTACCATCACGCTAGTACCTCATGCTACCGCTAGTACTTCCCGGATTACCCCTTACTACCTCACGCCAATACCTCACGCTAGTACGAGCATCAGCTCTTTATTCTCAAGCGCCCGTGACCATGAAACCGCTCGTGGAAAACGCCCCTGCAAGCGCCCGTGACAAACGACATGTTTCGTGAGTACAAGAGTGATAGGCACGTTAAGTGCTAGGTGGTCATCATCAACCTTTGGCGCCTTAAACGCTGGCGCCTTGGCGCCATGAGCGCTGACGCCTTGGCGCCTCAAACGCTGGCGCCTTGGCGCCTCAAACGCTGACTCCTTGGCGCCTCAAACGCTGGCGCCTTGGCGCCTAAATCGCTGGCGCCTTGGCACCATGAGCGCTGGCGCCTTGGCGCCTTAAACGCTGGCGCCTTGGCGCCTTAAACGCTGGCGCCTTGGCGCCTTAAATGCTGGCGCCTTGGCGCCTTAATCGCTGGCTCCTTGGCGCCTTAAACGATGGCGCCTTAAACGCTGGCGCCTTGGCGCCTTAAATGATGGCGCCTTGGTGCCTTAAACGATGGCGCCTTGGCGCCTGAAACGCTGGCGCCTTGGCGCCTGAAACGCTGGCGCCTTGGTGCCTCAAACGCTGGCGCCTTGGCGCCTTAAACGCTGGCGCCTTGGCGCCATGAGCGCTGGCGCCTTGGCGCCTTAAACGCTGGCGCCTTAACGCGCTGGCGCCTAACTCGCTGGCGCCTAACGCGCTTGCGCCTTGCAGCCTTGGCCTGCTGCCTTGTTGCGCACGCTCACGCGTTGCTGCAGTGAGCTCACACGTTGCTGCAGTGAGCTCACGCCTTGCTGCAGTGAGCTCACGCGTTGCTGCAGTGAGCTCATGCGTTGCTGAAGTGAGCTCACGCGTTGCTGCAGTGAGCTCATGCGTTGCTGCAGTGAGCTCACGCCTTGCTGCCGTGTGATCACGCCTTGCTGCCGTGTGCTCACGCCTTGCTGCCGTGTGCTCAGGCCTTGCTACGGCATCCCGCTTTCTCTTCTCAGCCTGCCGGTGCCTTGCTGCAACTCTCCGGCGCCTTGTAGCATGGCGATGCCCAGCTCGTTGCTCGCTAGAGCCTTGCTGCACACCAGCGTGGTGTGCGTGACCTCAGGGGATCTATGTTTCAAACCACGCTTGAGAGTCGTCAAATTCGGTTTCTTCCGTTGCAAGACTTGCGTTTCATTTCTGTTTTGCATCAATGTTCATCGGTACTTTCATTTTGTATTTATCATGTTTCAACACATACTGTACGTGCTTATCAAGTTCCATTTCACAATCAAGTATGTGCTCATCACTGAATAATTTACTGCGTTCTCCGACGACAATTTATTTTTACTTGACCTGTGTGTTTTGCAAGGTGCGCAAGACGCATTGTGCGGAGCAAGGAGGGGAATGGGAAAGAGAAGACATGGTGGAAAAGGGTGGGAGGAGATTTTGATGGTAGAGGGAGAGGAGGGAAGGCGGAAAGAGGAAGGGGGGACAAGCTAGCAGTGATTGATACGTAATGAATTGATTGCAACTCTTCGTTATGCTTGTCTGCTCTCCATCCTATTTGTGTATGCATGTTCGTGCAGGTCAGTTCGTGCGGGTCAGTTTGTGCGGGTCAGTTTGTGCGGGTGTGTTCATGTCAATTGGTTGTTTCACGGGGGGTTGTTGTGCTGGTATGCATCGTGTTTGTGATCTGAGGTTGTCATCGTCGTTGGGGCAGCGTGTTTTCGCTGTTTCAACGACCCCATCAATCTCAGTTGCATCATTGGTGTATATTGAGCACCCACTTCGATCCGTTCACAACCGTTGCGTGGTGTTGTACCCTTCTACAAGCGCTTGCATTTGTGTTTGTGGGATGCGTTTTTCAAAGTGTGGTGTTACTATGTGTCATGTATGTAATTAGAGGTTGTTAATTGTCTTTGGGGCAGCGGGTTTTCGCTGTTTCAAAGACCCCATCAACCTCTACTGCTATATGGTGCATCTTAATATTCATTTTGAAGCAACCACTCCACCTCATACCGTGTTGTTCATTTGTACAACTGCATTCGTGCATGTTGATACCAGAATGTTATGCTCAGCCGTACCATCCGCCGTATTTATCGACGAGCTGGGACGGTCGGGCAAATTCATGGTTTCAACATGATACGTACGGTATTTGGTTTCACATATGGGTATCTCATTTGAGAGTGCTCTTATTCACTTTTTGAGGCATCCGTTTGAACACACTTCCAAACATTCAAACGTGTGCTCCAAAAAGTGCCTAAAAAATCACTTTACAAATGATATCCCCAAAATGTCAAAACAAATATATAGGGTTGCTACGCAACCCAAAAAACAGCTTGGTAGTGAGAGACGCGGGTATGAGCGAGCTTTGGGGCTTGTTTTGGATTTTTGTAGCAACTTCATGAATAGCCTTTCTGGTACTTCAGTGACATACGAGGCTCCTGCACTACGTGTACTCGCCTGTGGGGTGCTGAGCCAGTTTCATGTTGCGAACGGGGAGTAGAGGAAGGGTAGCCCCAATGCAAGGGAGAAACACGGTCTGGCACTAGGGAGACGTTGGCAGCACCGGTTCTGGGTCGGTCGCGTGCCTCGAGCCCTTCCAGCCATTTTGTGTCATTATCGAACAGCCCAAATGTTTATATACCTGATTTTCATTCCTCTCCAGTCTCTTCGAGGGCTTTTTTGGGCTGTTTTTTGGTTGGCACATGGTCTGTGTAGCTCAACAGAGGATCTTAAGCGCGGGTCAAAATTAAACATGCAAAACTCGAACTAAATTTACTAGACAATTACAAACAGTACTCACACATCGTCGAAGAGAATATGAGCATGTTTGTTGGCGTATGCACTTGGGGCCATGCCATGGTGGGAAATTCCGCTATGCAGATTGACAAGTATGTCACGACCAGGTATTGGTGCAAGTATGTATCCATGGGAAAATCACAACATTAACGATGACCACGTCTGTATTGAGGTTCATATGCAATGGCTATGATTCCTTCAAGCCCAAGCCTGCCCTGTCCGAGTTCAAAATTGTGGCACGCAGTGGTGGGCCGACAAGTTTGTTTGGGCATTATTACGTGCCACAGACTATAATAGTCGTTTCAATTAGTTGTATGGTTGAGTATGACTATGTCACAAGCCATTTTCTTCTTATCTTTATTGTTTGGAAAACCAAGCAGATAACACACTCACAATGTCTCGATAGGCTTCTATCAAACTATAATGCCTCTTATGTTGTGTAGGCTGTAGTGGGGTAGCCTATGTGGGGTACAACCCAATTAGGGTTATACTTGTACTCAGTTTGATGTCAATGCAATCATTCCTGCTCGTTAGATTCTGACATGGTTTCGGAGCAGTAGGTCCGTAGGACCGTTTTTCTTTCTGGGCCCACCATTACCTAGTGACCGACTGCGGTTACTGCGTTACCCCACGCCCTGCCCTATGCTGCGCCGTCAGCGCGCGCCCTGCCATACCATGCCTTGCGTCGCATTGCCCCGCGCACGCCCTGCCCTGCCTTGCGTCGCGCTGCCCCGCGCACGCCCTGCACTGCCCCGCGTCGTGCTGCCCCGCACACGCCCTGCCCTGCCCCGCGTCGCGCTGCCCCGCGCACGCCCTGCACTACCCTGCGTCCTGCTGCAGCCCGCGCCCTGCTGCCCTGCGCGTCGCGCCCTACTGCAGCCCGCACGTCGCACCCTACTGCCCTGTGCGTCGCCCCCTACGGCAGCCCGCGCGTCGCGCTCTGCTGCCCTGCACGTCGCGCCCTGCTGCAGCCCGCACGTCCGCCCTGCTGCCTTGCGCGTCGCGCCCTATGGCAGCCCGCGCGTCGCGCTCTGCTGCCCCGCGCGTCGCGCTCTGCTGTAGCCCGTGCGTCGCGCGCTGCTGCCTTGCACGTCGCGCGCTGCTGCCCTGCACGTCGCGCCCTACGGCAGCCCGCGCGTCGCGCTTTGCAGCCCCGCGCGTCGCGCTCTGCTGCAGCCCGCGCGTCACGCCCTGCTGCCCCGCGCGTCGCCCCCTGCTGCAGCCCACGCGCCGCGCCCTGCTGCCCGCGCATCGCGCCCTGCTGCAGCCCGCGCGTCACGCCGTGCTGCCCTGCACAGCGCGCGCCCCGCTGCCCGCGCCGCCCAGGCCGAGTAGCGCCGCCCAACCCGAGCCGCCCTGCCCAACCCGATCCACCCTGCTGCTCGTGCTACTGCTGCTGCTGCTGGTGGAGGTGCTGCTAGGAGTGCTAGAGGTGCTGCAGCCTTGCCTCACCGAGCCGCTTTGCTGCTCTTACTGCTGCTGCTGCTGCTGCTCGTGCTAGTGCCTTCCCTCCGTACTGCCCTACTGGTCGCACGCCTCCTTACTTGACCCGCTATGACTTCTCTTTGTGGTAGCGGTTGGCGCGGTGACGCTGGTGGTGACAGCAGCTAGAGTGGTGGCAGCGGCCGTCGTGGCAATCGCGGTGGAGCTGTTCGGTGCGGAGTTTCTGGCGGTGGCCAGATGCGGTTTCTGCGGCATCCGCGCGAGACCCTTACGCCCCAGCAGCTTCGTGAGAGGTACGCCAGTAGGTTTGGTGGCGGCGGTCGTAGTGCAGTCGTGGTGGAGCTGTTCAGTGCGGAGTTTCTGGCGGTGTCCAGATGCAGCTGCAGCGGCGTTCGCGCGATACCCTTACGCCCCAGCAGCTTCGTGAGTGGTACGCTCAGAGTGGGGGGACTTGGAGTACTGTCCGCTGTCCGTACGTCATTCGTACAGGTGCTCGGGCTGGTCAGACTTGCAGGACACTTGGTCATACACAGGCTCGCTGCTTTGCCTGTCTGAGTGACGCATGTCGTGCAGTGTTTGGCGACGAGGCTGAGCTCCCCCGCTAGCTAGAGCTGCTTAGGAACAAGGTGGATATCTTTGCTGTAGACTACGACACTATCCTCACTACCATGTATGCTTTGACTATTAGTACTCAGGGTGACTGCTACCTGTGTGTGCCGCCCGACCCTGGTATAGCGGCTGCTACTTTAGGTGCTGGTGAGTCTGCTCAAGGTGATGGTGAGTCTGCTCTAGGTGCTGGTGAGTCTGCTCTCTCTGGTACTGCGCCGACTGAGGCCTTGCACACCTTCACGCTTGACTCAGGTGCTTCCCGCTGCTTCTTTCGCGACAGCACCACAGTCACACCACTCGCAGCACCGGTTGCAGTCTCTCTGGCTGACCCCTCTGGGGGACCGGTTCTTGCACGTTCCTCCACTGTTCTCCCGTGTCCGGCGGTTCCGTTTGGCTCACTGTCAGGTCTTCACCTCCCCTCGTTCTCTACGAACTTGGTGAGTAACGCCGTCCTTCAGGATGCTTGGGTTGATACCTTTACCCTTGGAGGACAGCGCGTGGCGATCTGCACGTGTGCATGGACGGACCGTCACCTGGCCACGTTCACCCGTCGGCCTGGGTCGAGCCTGTACACACTGACTATGCGCCTTCTCAGGTAGCTGCGTCTGCGTCCGCGTCCGGTCAGCTAGCAGCCTCCTGCTCGTGTCGCGCCCTGTCGCACCAGACTCTCCTTTGGCACCACCGCCTTGGTCACCCCTCTCTGCCACGCCTCCGTGGCATGCACTCTCGCCTTCTTGTCTCTGGTCTTCCCAGGTCTCTGCCTCCCCTCCCACCCTCGCCTGCCCCTCCTTGCCTTCCCTGTGACAAGGGGCAGCAGCGCGCCGCTCCTCACTCCTCCTCGTTCCCCGCGACGACTGCTCCCCTGCAGACTCTCCACTTGGACGTGTGGGGCCCAGCCCGCGTCCAGGGACAGGGCCGCGAGCGATTCTTTCTGCTGGTTGTTGACGACTACTCGCGTTACACCACGGTCGTTCCCTTGCGCAGCAAGGGTGAGGTCCCTGATGTCTTGATCCCTTGGATCCGCGCTGTTCGTCTCCAGCTTCGCGAGCGGTTCAACACGGACCTTCCTGTCCTGCGTCTGCACTCTGACAGAGGTGGTGAGTTTTCCTCCGACCTCTTGCAGGACTTTTGTCGTAGGGAGGGCATCCTCTAGTCGTTCACGCTTCCGGCCTCTCCACGGCAGAATGGGGTTGCTAAGCACCGCATTGGCCTAGTCATGGAGGTCGCTCGTACCTCCATGATCCATGCGGCTGCCCCCCATTTTCTGTGGCCGTTTGCGGTCCGGTACGCTGCGCATTAGCTCAACCTCTGGCCCCGTGTCTCCTTGCCGCAGACCTCGCCGACACTACGTTGGACGGGAGAGGTTGGCGATTCGTTAGTGTTCCGGGTCTGGGGATCTCGTGCCTTTGTTCGCGATACCTCCGCGGACAAGCTCTCCGGCCGCGCCGTTCCCTGCGTCTTCCTTGGCTTTCCCCCTGACGCGCCTGGCGGGCAGTTTTACCACCCCACCTTGCGCCGTGTTCTGTCCTCTCAGGACGTCACGTTTGACGAGTCGGTTCCCTTTTACCGTCTCTTCCCCTACCGCACTGCCCCTCCCCCTCCCCCGCCGCTCTTCCTTGCTCCAGGTCCCCCTCTGGTAGACCCCCTCCCCCCTCAGGGTCCT